TAGGAGATGTGCATCGTGGAATTCCAATACTACAACACAGACTTTGTGGGAAAAAGGTCCTCCTTGTGCTTGATGATATTAGCAAAAAAGAACAATTGCATGCAACTGCTGGAGGACTTGATTGGTTTGGCCCTGGTAGCATCATCATCATAACAACAAGGGATAAGCATTTGTTAGATGTTCATGGAGTTCAAAAACAGTACATGGTTGGTGGAATTAACTTTATGGAAGCCCTTGAATTGTTTAAGTGGAATGCTTTCAAAAACAAAGAAGTTGATCCATGTTACAAGGAAGTCACAGAGCGTGCAATGTATTATGCCAATGGCCTTCCATTGGCTTTGGAAACGATAGGCTCGAACTTGTTTGGCAAAACCTTGGATGAATGGGAATCTGCGTTAGAAACTTATGAGAGAATTCCAAATAGAGATGTTCAGGAAGTTCTTAAAGTTAGCTATGATAGTTTGGATGCTTATGAGAAAGAAATATTCCTTGACATAGCTTGCTTCTTTAGAAGATGCTCTCTTGGATACGTTACAGATAAGCTTGAAGCAAGAGGATTTCCTCCAAAATTTGGTCTGAGAGTGCTAGAAGAAAAATCTCTCATTAAAATTCGGGAATGTCCACATGAAACTGTGACAATGCATGACATGATTCGGTGTATGGGAAAAGAAATAGTTAGACAACAAAAACCTCTGCCTCACAAACGGAATAGGATATGGTTTTACGAGGACGTTGTTTGTGTGTTGGAGAAAAACATGGTAAGAGTCCTATTCCTTTCCGTTTCTTGTATTACATCATGAGTTGAATCTGTACACATTTCATGATTCTTAACTCTCGATAGTAAGAGCCAACAAAGCATTTACATTTTGTGAATTCTAAATTTTATGGCTCCTTTTCTGCTTTTGGCCTGAAAGGAAAATGATAAAATTGAAGCGGTGATGTTGGAGATGCCAGAACACCAAGAAGAAATGCAATGCACTCCAAAGTTTGGAAAAATGAAAAGCTTACGGATGCTTATTATAGAAAAGAAGGTTAGCTTTCTTGGAAGCCCTGCTACTCTGCCAAACAGTTTGAGAGTGCTGGAATGGCGTGGATATCCTGCAACTTCTTTACCGAGCAATTTTCATTTCAAGAATCTTGTCATACTCAACTTGTCACACAGTTACTTTGGATGGTACAAACCACTACAGGCATGTACAATTTTATTCGTCATCTAAAATTAATTTTAGGTTTTGGATTAACACTTGATTCTTCAAAAAAACCAAACTAATAACCGTAGACTTGTTATTTTGCAGAATTCAAAGGTTTTGAGACACTTGATTATCATAGGTTGTAAGAATATTAGACGAATACCTGACATCTCTGGTTTCCCCAATTTGACAAAACTTTGTGTTCGTGAATGCACAAATCTGTTTGAGATTCATGATTCAGTTGGATCTTTACTTCATCTTAAAGAGTTTTGTGCTGAAGGATGTACCAAGCTCACAATTGGTCCAAGTCGCATAAAGTTGATATCTTTGGAGCATCTGTGCTTTCGGGGCTGCAGCAGTCTTGTCATGTTTCCAGAAGTATTGGCTCCAATGCACAAACTAAAGTACGTTGACTTGGGAGGAACTGGCATAAGAAATCTGCCACCATCAATGCAAAATCTTAAGGGTATTAAAGTATTGTCCATGGGGAAAGGCCAAATGCTTGAAATTAATGAATCGTCCAATTTCTTTCAAAACCTGCCAATGTTCTTTCCTAATTTAGAAACATTATATTTACAAAACTTAGACATTACAATCCTTCCTGCCAGCATTGAAGAATGTCACTCTTTGAAATTTCTGCACGTCACCAACTGCAAGAAGCTTCAAGAAATTAGAGGACTTCCATTGAATATTAATCAGTTCTACGCAGCAAACTGTTCTGTTAAAGCCAACTCTTTGATATTAAAACTCAGGCAGGTGGGTGTGTCTATCTTCTTTGAGTGATTCCATTAACTAGCTATGACTTTCTTTTTCCAAACTCACGATGCATATAACATGACCCGTTTCACAGGCCATTGATTGTGGTGCAATGGGAATCTGTGTTCTTCCAGGTCGGAAAATCCCAGAATTGTTTGACCACTCTAGCAGGGGAAACTCTGTAAGTTTTTGGTTTCGTAAAGAATTGCCCACTCTGGCTGTGTGTGCTATTATTGGAGTCTGGGATAATGTCAAGCCTCCTTTCGTTGCCTTCTTTAGGTTCGTTGTTGGAGTAGAAAAGAATATTTATAAGTGTGTTTGTTGTTTCCGTTGTCGTAATATACGTTGGACAACTGAGGATAGTCACATAATTATACTCAACTCTCGAAATGATTTTCAACATACGTTGAATACGGATATTCAGACAGTGCTTCTGACGAATGAGTGGATTCCTGGGAAAATACTGTTGACGATACGTCCAAAAAGTGATTTAGGTAAGTCGGGAGAAATCAGAAGGACAGGAGTTTATGTAAATCGAACACTTAGTAGCATGGAGGATGTTCGATTCGAAGATCCTTATGATCTCAATAAAGCAAGTGCTATAGAAAATAAACTTGTGTTGCTTGGTGAGGCATCTGATACACAACAACAAGCACAATCCTCTGCTTTATTCAACCTCACAACCTCATTAGAATCTCTTATTGGTGAACAACCTTTGAATTATGAGTACAACAATTCATATTCAAAAGAATCGGCATCCACTGTTGACTCCAATAACCAAGGTAAAATGTACTTTGTCCTTCCTTTCTTACTCTTTGATCAAATTACTTCTGCTTCTATTGATATTATCCTTTGGTTCTGAAGGAGTACTTGTAGATGATCAACCAATATTAGCTCCAAGTTCTGCAGAGACGCAAAATGCTGAGGCCAAAAGAGAAATGGCACAACTGATATCGGAAGTTTCAAGTGAGTTCACAGCTCAAGTAAGTATGAAAATTGAGTCAACAGCATCCCAATCACCTAAAGTTGATGAAGTAGAAGCAGGTTTGGAAACTCAGAATCAGTTCAGAAATACTATGGTTTTGGAAAACCAGATACACCAAAGGCTGACCAGGATTAAGAAAATGAAAGAAGAATTAGGAGAGAAAATCAGTGCTATTAAAGCCGACATCTCTGCCATTGAAGCTAACAACTCTTCCATTAAAGCTAACATCTCAGACATTAAAGCTATATTTTTGCAGATTGATCAGAGGTACAACAATTGAAATAGAATTTCTATGTAGCATGTGATGGATGAAAATAATATTTTTCCAATTTTTCAGAATCTAAAATTTTAAGGTTTGATGTGAGTTTTGGATGTATCTAAGTATAATAAAGATGTTATTTTGACAATATGGAATATCGAAATGCTTATGGTACAGGTATGATGATGATACACTTGATTCAGTAGTTTTTTTGTTTTCAACCCGTTCTCAAATTTTATTTGGAAAGTTTCAGTGTGTTGAAAAATTGAAAGGTGGTTAATGTTCGGTAAAACTGAAACACAGATATTGTTTGTTTTTGGTCACTACAAAAGGCCTCTTATCAATGAAGGTATGTTATGTGTATATAAACTTATGTCCATCTCTTATTTTATCTGATGTGAGACTTTGTTTGTATCCAATATCCTCCCCTCAAACAAAGGACTATGGTTCTCTACCTCCCCTACAGCAGAAGTCTTTTTCTTATTCTCAAGTACACCATGATCAATACTGAGCATCTCTTGTCCTCTTTCACTATCCAAGCACTCAAGCTTTATTAACTCTAATATTTTATATTTTTTAATGCGCTGTACCATTTTATATGTGATAGTTGGGGAGGCTGGTAGTGTGCTTTAAGTATTGCACTTGTTTCAGAAATTTTTTTAATATATATGTTCATACTTTCTTTCTATAGGTTCATACGGTGAGGTATACAATGCAGACATGAATGACACAGTGAGTTCTTTAATTCCTTTTCATATTTGCTGGGAATATTATTGTTATAGATTGAATTGGAAAATTCTTTTATTGTCATGTTCTTAATTATGGTTATTATGTACTTCTGTATGCATGATTCAGAAATATGTACTCAAATAAAAAAAGTTTTTTTTTCAGTCAAACTGAGGCATACAAGGCAGCATCACATCTAGCAAGTGCCACACCACCTCCTGTTGTGCTGAGTCGTGGTATTGGTTGGCAGGTACTTGAAATTTTGCTGAATGATCTTTTTGGAATACTCACTAGTTCTACAGTTTCTGTGTAAGTGGTATTCTACATGAAGTGAATCATGCTTTTCTTTCACTTTTATGGGGCACAAATTGATTCTTGTAGGACTGATAGAGAGAATGTGGAGCTTCTAGGAAAAACATGTATTTTCTGAAAGTAGAAGTGGTTCTTGCGCTTTCGGTTTATTTATTTTTAGTATAGTTGAATTGGGTTAGTTAAGTTCAGTTTTTTTCATATTTAATACAAGAGAAACTTTATTTTTTCATTCATTCTTTCACATATTTCTCGTTACTCTTCTGAAATTTAGTTATTATTGATACTTATTATCCATGGAAAAATAGCTCACGCTATTATTATCAGAAGATTAATAACAAAGGTTAAGTGATATAGTCTTTTCTTTAAGTAAAAGAAAAAATGAATGTGTAGTTGTAGAAAAGTTGAGTGAGAGAGTATGAATTTGGTTTGGGAGATTTGGCACATTATACTTAGGTGCTACATTTTGTATTATCCTCTTTGGTTGGCTACTGTTTGGTACCACATAGAAATAACACTACAAAAGTTTATGTAATGTATATTTAAATAATTTTTTACTTTATTTCTTTTTCTCTCGTGGTGTTCCCTTCCTTTCAGGACGATGCCCTTCAAGTGCTTTAATTTTGACCAAAACAAAATATTAAATTCCTCTTACAATTTTAAACTCGAAATTGTATTCACTAGTTCACACCTTTAATTCTTGAAACTTTTATTGATTACATAATCATGTGGATCTTAAATATTTTAACATAAATATGAATAAATATTTAAATTGATTCTTAAAAGATAAATAAAAAGTGTTTAATTAAACATATCATAAATAAGTTGTTAAAATTAAAAAAATTAAAATTTTTTTTTCATGTAAGTCATAATAGAAATTTAATTCAACTAAAAAAAATATTTATACCATTATTTTACTTAATAATTAAACAATATTTTTAATTTATTAAGATATACATTTTTTATTTTAAATATAAAAATTTATTAAATTCACAGTGCAAACTTTAAAAAGTGAGTTTCATGTCCAGACAACTTTAATCTTAACAAGGATGGTATATGATCAACAAAACATACACCCTAAGTCACAAAATAAAGTTGGAAAGCTTTATGTACAGGACAATCTACCCTGATGTGTAGAACCCATAACATAACTCCCCACTTATTTGAACTATGCTCCCTTAACTGTATTGAAGTTATATTTATTATTTTTGAACATCATTTTGTGACTTAGGGTGTATGTTTTGTTCATGATAGATCATCCTTGTTCAAATTAAAGGTGTTAAGACATGATAATCAATATTTGAAGTTGGAAAGCTTTATGTATAGGGTAGTCTACCCTGGTGCGCATAACCCATAACGTAATTCCCCACTTATTTGAACTATGCTCCCTTACGTGTATTGAAGTTATACTTCTTGTTTTTCAACATCATTTTGTGACTTAAGGTGTATGTTTTGTTCATCATAGACAATCCTTGTTCAAATTAAAGGTGTTAGGAAATGATAATCAATATTTGAAGTTGGAAAACTTTATGTACATGGTAGAGCTGTCAAAATGGGTCACAACTTGCTGGCCAACCCGGCCCACCACATGTTTGAGCCGGGTTGGGTTTGAAAAAATTATATTTTTTTATGCGGATCAAATTTAAACCCGGCTCATTTAAACTCGGCTCATTTAAATCTGACTCATGCGGGTTGAACCCGTGGTGGGCCGGGTTGGCCCACCAATCCACCTACCAAATTTTATTTTATTAAAATTTAATTTTAATTTTATAAAAAAATGTTTATTATTTTGTTTTTGCTTGAAAAAATTATTTAAGTTCCTTATTTTCAAAATTAATTAAACACCCATGTTGGGAGTGAAATTTGTTTAGATTTAAATTATAGAAAGTTTGTAATTTTTTTATTTTAAAAAAATTGTAATTAAGTGAGCTAGTGAGTCAACATGTTTACCCACTAACCCGTGGTGGGTCGGGCCGGGTTCGGATTTTTCTGGCTCGCTAATAAATGAGCCGGGGTTGGGTTGGCTCACTAAGTGACCAACCCGTGGTGGGCCGGACCGGGTCAATGGTGGTTTCGGCTTGAACAGTGCTTCGAAATGGTGGAACGTTCGGGCAGAACGATGGCGGACACAACTCCGGTGAAAGGCAGCAGTTCGGTGAACGTTCCTTTGTCGGTGGATGATCAGTTGTAGTCAAGAAAGGTTTATGGGTGTGAGGACATTCTCTCTCGTGAGTTCTCTCTCCCAAATGAGATCTGCAAGGTTTGAAACCCTTAGAAAAATGAAACCAACGAAAACTCCTGCAGCTCCAAACCTTGCATTTCCATGTCATTTAAAATTATTTTAATTTTTTTCACATGAACCAATCAGAACGCAACACTAAGTGGAGTCAAAATGTTGTTAAAAAATGTTGTCAAAGTATCATTATCCTTATGAAAGAACCCAAATTTTGGAGAAAAAGAAAGTAGAATTTTGGAAGGGAATGCTTAAAAAAAGAAAGTGAGGAAAATGGAGAAAAAGGTATTATAATCTATTAAGGTAACCAATCTCTTTAAAAAGAAATCAAAACCTTTGTTGGCTTGCAAATAATTTATCCATAATTATTTTAGATAATGTTTATTTAAGGGAGTTTTAATAACCTCCCAAAATAATCCCTACTAAATATAATTTTTTTAGTGTAATAATTAATTGATCAGATTACTATATATATCTCATTTTTTCTTTAGTGGATAAACGAGAATGAAAAAAAAACTACAAATTTTAAAATATCATTAGAGTCAAATAAATACATCCACTTTAGTAAATAAATAAAAAAATTATTCCTTCTAGAAGCTGTTTTTCCTAAACAGCCCGTGGGAAAAAAATATTTGAAGGTCAACTATGGTTATATTTCTTAATCTCCACCAAATCAAAATCATTAATTTATTTCAATAATTGGCCCTAAAAATTTAAATAATAATCCACAAAAGACATAAATAAAATAAGGAAATGATACCTTTTCTTTCTGGAGACATGGAAATTCTCTTAAAGGGTAAAATGTGATGTCTATCAAAAGAAAAATGAAGCATAATTTTATAGGTCAATAAGCTACATTAAATAATTTTTTGGGATCCACCCACCAGCAATTATAATGCTAAATTAATTATATTTTAAAACCACATACAACCATCTTCCTTTGGTAGATAAATACTTGTTAACTATAGTGTTTATCTCTAATCACTACACACTAATCACTCTAATCTCCAAATTTATAGTGTCACAAATATGAGTGACGATGAAAATGCAGTGCGTTTTGGCATTCTTGGCTGTGCTAACATCTCCATCAAGCTATGCAAAGCCATAAACAAAGCACCAAACTCCAAGCTCCATGCCATAGCCAGTCGTTCGGTTGAAAAGGCTGAATCTTTCGCGACCGAGCACAACCTACCTAAGACGGTTAAGGTTTATGGAAATTACGAGAATGTGCTGGAAGATGATGAAGTGGATGCCGTTTATATTCCTCTTCCGACAGGTTTGCATGTGACATGGGCGGTGAAGGCGGCGGAGAGACGGAAGCATGTACTGCTGGAGAAGCCGGCGGCGATGAGCGTGGCGGAGCTTGACCGGATTCTGGAGGCTTGTGAGGCTCATGGGGTGCAGTTCATGGATGGCACCATGTGGATGCACCACCCTCGAACGGCTAAAATGAAGGAGGCTTTATCTGATGCTCAACGCTTTGGTCAACTCAAATGGGTATGTGCATATTAATAAATTCATATTATATTATATTATATATATATATATATATATATATATATATATATATATATATATATATTTATTTATTTATTTTGGTGTTCTTCATTTTTGTTTCTTTTTGTTGTGAAGAATATAGTTTGAATTGGGATTATATATTCTTTCATCCACGAGTATATATTTTTATATATCACGATTGATTTATTTAATAATAAATTTTGTTAAAATATATTATGTTTTATGGTTTTGATATTTATGTTAAGAATTAAAATATAAATTTAATTTAATTTTATAAAATTGTTTATAAGATGATATTTGTATTTATTTATATGTTATAAATCTTTCTTATTTCTAAATAATATGAGATATTTTATAACTAAATTTAATAAATATAACATTTTTCTTTTTTATTTGTTTTTTTTTTTGAAGTAATTGGTGGTATTTTAAGGTTTATTGAAATGATTTGTGAATTGGACTAGTCAGATGAAAGGATTTGAAGTTTTTTTTTTTCTATTTTGAGGATTTATTTAATTAGTTTGCATATATTTATCAAAGCTTAGCACAAAAATCTCACCGTATATTAACAAAACTTTTATACATGGTAGGCTCTTTCTATTTTATTTTGTCAATTTTAGAATATCCTTTATGTTCTTTTTATTTCTTTAAAATAAAAGAAGAAATTTTATGCTTTCCTTATTTACTTTCTTTAAAGTTTTCTACATTTTAAAACACTGAATACTTTCTTTCACGTCTTTTATTTATTCTAAAAACTTTTACACACGCGTAGATGTTGGTCCTTTGTAGAGCTAGCTTTCTACGAAAAACACAAATACACTTAATTGTGATGCTCGAAGTTAAGAGAAAGGTAAATCTAGTAAGTATAGGTTCATATTATTTAATTAATTAATTAATTAATTTTGGTTTTGTTTACGAAGTAAACTGAACACGATTAAACTTGTCTTTTGGTGTGAAAAGTTTGCCACCACTTTACTCGACACAATGTTATAGAACTTTAGTAGATCGATAAGAATGCTCCATATTTAACTATTTCTTCCTAATTTTTACACGTGACCACACTTTCACATTTTGTTAAATAAAATACCTTTTTTTCTTTCTTGGTAGCAAAGGTAGGTTTGGTTCCAAAAATAAACATGTATCTAAAATAGATTAATCACATGTCTCATTTATAAGTTTTAAGCTTTTTACTTCGTGCATTTCCACCATTTTTTCATACACTCTTCAAATTTTTAAAATGATAAAAGTGACTTTCAAATTACATATTTTAAACATTTTCTAAAATAAAATTTTCAGAATAAAATTTTTAGAATGTATGAAAAATATATTTCAGACATATTTTTTAAAGCACGTGTAATAATGCCTTCTCAAACCAATTTTCTAAAACACCCCCTACGAAATGCATTCTATAAAGAGTTAACGCAACAATGGCGGAGGATAGTTTAGTCTTTTTTTGTTACCA